CAGTGAGAGAGTGAGACAGTGAGGGAGGGAGACAATGAGAGAGTGAGGCAGTGAGACAGTGAGAGAGTGAGGCAGTGAGTGAGTCAGTGAGAGAGTAAGACATTGAGAGAGTGAGGCAGTGAGTGAGTGAGGCAGTGCGTGAGTGAGGCAGTGAGTGAGTGAGGCAGTGCGTGAGTGAGGCAGTGAGTGAGTGAGGCATTGAGAGAGTGAGAGAGTGAGATAGTGAGACAGTCCAAACACCTCTTGTCTTGGAAGAAGTACAGCCAGCGTGCTCCTGAGAAGCGAGGACAGTGAGACTCCACCCACATGCTTTGGACACATTGTCAGGAGAGACCAGTCCCTCCCTGGAAAAGGACATGCTGCTTGGTAAAGCAGAGGGGCGGTGAAAACGAGGCAGACCAACAAGGAGATAGATGGACGTAGTGGCTGCAACAATGGACAGACTGAACATAACAACAATTGTGAGGATTTTGTTCTGTTGTACGTCGAGTCCAGGTGAGTCAGAATAGATGTGACGGCATCTAACAACCTAAGTTTGGTCGCTGTTGCCTTCCTTTCTAAGTAATGAGCAAAAAGCAACAGATACTCATTTCCATGGCTTCTCCGTGGAAAAAGCAATGGCAATGTCCTCCTCTTCCATTTTTTGAGCCCCCGGCCCCTTCCTAAGGTCACATGCCAGTCTTGGGCATTTCATGCACACGGATCACACTTATTGAGCTCTTATTAAGTGCTAGAGATGACAATAATTGTGGGTGCACATGAGACAGAGTTACAATTCCTATCTCATTGACTGAAAGAATAGTTTACCAAATGTCTACAAGTGCCTGAAACTGGGCCAGAGAGTAACTGCTCATAGCCTGGACTCTGACACCCACAGATACGTGGTTTTGATGGTGGGGAGTCTCTATTCACAACGGCACCAAGCCATGAACCTGCTCACATAAGTGTTACCTGCCTCTTACCACTGGTGACAACGTCAACATGCATTCCCTAGCTTTAGTGACTTACCTTCCTCGCATGCCTCTCATCCACATACATGCGTCATACACACCCAAAACAGAGTGAAGCCTTTTTTTCCCCTTTAGTTTTCACTAAAGGATTAAGCTTTCTCTTAGCTGGTGTCGCTTATGATAGCGTTTGGATCACAAAAAGCTCAAGCCAATCAAGCGTCTGGGGTCTTAAAGGCTTGAAGGTAAACAAGCGTCCATCTAGCTCAGAATCAACAAAGCCCACATGGAGGAAGCACACCAGCCTGTACGACAATGAGGTGTCGAGGGGATGAGGTATCAGGCATCATCAGAACAAAAAATCTTACCATAGTGAATGATGGGGGGAGTGCGGAGTGGAAACTCAAAGCCCATTTGTAGGCCACTGGAGATCCCCTTAAAGAACGGTTCCGGGGAGGAGATGAGCCAGTCAGGGTGCGATATAGCAACGATGAAACATACAACTTTCCTCTAGTTCCTAAATGCTTCCTCCTCCCCACTATCATGATCCCAATTCTACCTTACAAATCTGGCTAGACCAGAGGATGTACACTGATACAGATAGGAACTGGAAAACAGGGAATCCAGGGTGGATGATCCCTTCAGGACCAGTGGTGTGAGTGGCGATACTGGGAGGGTAGAAGGAGGGTGTGTTGGAAAGGGGGAACCGATTACAAGGACCTACATGTGACCTCCTCCCTGGGGGACGGACAACAGAAAAGAGAGTTCAGTTTACTTTTGCTCTTTGCCATTTTAGAAGGTTGAGCCCTGGTGGCAGAGTGGATATAGAGCTATTAGCCACATAGAGCTATTGGCCACAAGGGCAGCAATTTAAAACCACCAGCCGCTCCTAGGGGAAAAGACAAGGCTTTTACTCCCGTAAAAGAGTGACAGTCTGGGAAACTCACAGAGGCAGTTCCACCCTGCCCGATAGGGTCAGTGAATTTGCTTGTTTATGTTGAACTCACTGCTTTCCACACTCACCTCACTCCTAAGACCCACAACAATGGTAAATTTTTATTTGCCTCCTTGAAGGTCAAGAATTTTTAAAAAAAGACTATTTCAATAGATCTCACCATCTTCTGGCATGTTACCAATCATAAATCAATCAGTGGAATGGTCAGGATTCATTTAGAGAGGCAGAGAGCTGGCCTGACCCCAAATTACCGGATCATCGCTAACATCTGCTATCAGCAGAGCAGCGGGCATGTTGGCAGCTCAGGACCACTGGGTAGCAACTCAGATTGGTATTGCTCAGTGGAGGGTTCAGTATGGATCTAAGCTTACTGTCTTATGGCGGACTTGGATGAAGACTGAGAAGCATGTCTCATCTATTTTGCAGAGAATATACATTTCCCTCTCTCTAGCCCCAACAATGCTCACATCTGAGACCTACTCTCAGCAGTGAGCGTGTCTCTGACCTTGTTGCTATCGGGGGGCCCTACAGCCCAGCTCTTACCCCACAACTCATCCCCAGACCTGTCTCCCGGTAGTTGGGAATTAATCACTGCCACGTGTGTGAGAACCAATAGCGGAAATCGTCACGATCACTGGAGAGTTGAACAGGAAGAGATGTAACATCAGAAGTATCTAGACCAGCGGTTCTCAGCCTGTGGGTGGCAGCCCTTTGGGGGGGTCGAATGACCCTTTCACAGGGGTCACCCGATTCATAACAGTAGCAAAATTATGGTTATGAAGTAGGAACAAAAATAATTCTAGGGTTGGGGTCACCACCACATGAGGAACTGTATGAAAGGGTCGCAGCATTAGGAAGGTTGAGAACCCCTGATCTAGACAATCCCTCATTCAGGGCCCTCTGCATGCTGGGAGTGCCTTAGATGTTACCTTTAATCCAGTCAGCCTCCCATTCCACAGAGGCCGGAGGGTGGCTGAGAGAGTCTCCCAGAGACAGATGTAAACCCAGGTCTATACGACCCCAATGTTTTTGTTCTTTCTGCTATGTCCCCCTGTCCCTAATTGTGCTGGTAATGAGAAGGGCAGCGACAAACTAAAGAGCCAGGACAGTGTAATGGTTAAGTGCTGAACTGCTAATTGAAAGGCTGGCGGTTCAAATCCACCCTATCGCCATAAGGGAGAAAGATCTGGGGTCTGGCTCCTGTAAAGATTCCTGCCGAGAAAACCCGACGGGGCAATTCCACTCTCATCACCTGGAGTCGCTATGAGTTAAGACTCAGCCAGCCTGCACCTAGCAACAACAGTGACAGGGGACAGCATTCACCACTGTACCGCTCTGAAAACTGCACTACAAATGGCTGCAGGACCTGGGAGAGGAGTAGCAACTCTTGATTTTCTATGCAGAAGGGCTAGGCGCTGCTCTCAAGGGGAGCGGGATGATGGAAAGAGCTAGAAAGCTTGACGCGCCATTTGCAGTCTCCCGCGTGGGCTCTGGCTGACTTAGACAGCATGTTCAGCTGGGGGAGGGCTGAGGAAGATGGCAGGGCGTGACTGAAGCTCTGCCCACCACTCTCAGATGCCACCTATGTAAGGAAGCATGCCACCACCCATGGAGAGACCGGAAGCGAGAGACGACCAAGGTCCATTCTTCAAAGATGTGGAAGAGAAATTAAACTTGCTAGGAATCAGCATTGAAGTTTGAAAATGTAGCAAACAGCCCACACCCACTGTCACCGGGTAGAATCCAACTCACAATGACCCTGCAGGACAGAGAAGAATGGTTTCCAAGGTGTGAGGTATCACAGAAGCAGGCCGCCTCTCCTTCCGCTCATGAAGCAGCTGGTGGGTTCAAACCACTGACTTTTTGATTAGCAGCTGGGTGCTTTAGCGAAGGTGCCCCTGGGGCTCTTGAGCACCAGTGGTTGAAAGTCACAGCAAGGACACAGGACCATGAGGTACGTCCTAATCCATTGGTCACCATCTAATTGCTGGAGAAGGTTAAGCCTCCTACTTGAAGCAGAAGCCAGAGAGGTCACCTGTCTCTTTCTATGATGCTGTGAAATCGTGAAGGCCAACGGGGCAGGTAGAGCAGAGGGACAAGAATATGAGAGGTTTTAAGAAGTTTAACAATCTGCCTCAGGACACAGACAGATGCACTCAGATTAGAGTGACTAATACAGCACCGGAAGGTGCTTAGACTCAGACAATCCAAGTGTGGGAGTTCAGAGAAAAGAATCGTGAGTGGGGGCTGGAGTGGCCAGGAAAGGCTCCATTCACAAGAGGAAACTTGAGCAGGACCTTGAAAAAAGTATCATTCGCGTGAAGCAAAGCTTCCCGTTTTCTCTCACTGTCCTCCGGTGTCAGGGAGATGCAAAACAGCACTCTTGTGACTAAAGGAGTTCAGGAGAAAAGGGGAAAACTTCAAACTCAACAAACACAGCCTATGCTACCTGGAAAGAACCTCTTGCTTCCCCTGATGTCTTGTCCCCATTCATTCCTGCGGGGAGCTAACATGTGCTGGAGGCTCGGGATGTGCCCCACATGCTGCCGGGCAAGGGGGAAGCCAAGTAGCCCCACTGAGCTACATTGAAGAGCCCTGCAAGGCGGGTTTCATGGTGCATGCATTCAGGCTCGGAGTGCAGAGTGTGAAGCGATTCCTTGCTGCCCTCCCAGCTACTAATGGCCACGCTGGAACACCTAGCCAGGCCCACCAGCCCTCAGATCCTGCACTCCTCTGTTACATAAGCTCCCTGCTGTTTTACTCTTTCACTGTTATCATTTTCCTTTTTCATTTATGCAGCCTCCTGAAAGCAGGTATCTTGCCCAACTTGAAGCAACCTTTGGTGCCTTGCCCGAAACACAGCAGATAGTCTATGTCTGTCAGGAAGAAATAAGTTGAAAGGTGACCCGTGTCTCAATATGTCAGCAAGTCGATTCTGATTGGCGGGGACCTGGGTGTTACAGAGTGCAACTGTCCCGTGAGGTTTCCTCCGTGAAGAAGTGAATTTCAAGTTGCAGAAGTAAGGAAGCCAGCAAGAGCAGAGACTTCGCTGGGTTTGGGGAGGATCCCTCTTCAGGGAAGAGAAAACGTGCCGCGGGAGATACTCAGGGGGAAGTCAATGTGAGACAAGCTGCCTAACCGCCAAAGGGAGAGCGTTCCCAGCAGGTCTGTCTCCGGAGCTTGGAGACCTTCCTTCACCTTTCCATTGAGCAGGTAGGTGGCAGACTGCATCATGTTCATCAGAACACCCACTGGACTCCAGCTGAATTTGTATCGCAGAGGATTAGCTGAGTGTTCAGGGGCTGGAAGTCCACCGCAAAAGGAAATATACGATTCAATCTGGAAATGAAGGAATCAATATATTAGGGAGATGCGTTCGGATACGGTGGCAAAGATGAACGGAGCACGCTGGTTTTTCCTCGTTTTCATTTACTAAGGCTGTCAAAAACATCACCCTGTTTATGAGGAGGCTTCTAGAAGTTCATGGAAAAATGGAATTGAAAGATAATGAAATATCTCCACAAACTTTTGGAAGCCCACCTCCTACCATTTCTTTAAGTCATAAGTGGTTATATATATATGTTTATTTCAATATTGACACAGACTTTCTATTCCATTAAAATCCAAATGCCAGGTCAATTCTGTTTGGTCAGTTACTACTTCCATGTTCAAATGGTACAATTTCCAAGAAATTAAAATGATTCATTTGATTCATCAAATTTACCTTACGCCATAGTTTTTCCCTCACATGCAAAGGACACTTTGTACACCAAAAATTAATATAATTTCCAGTCTTATAGAATCTCCAAGGACATCTGAAATCTTTTTTTAAACCAAACCATTGTAGTAACATCTACTTCTCTAAAGAGTGGTTATTGTTTAAGGCATGGGTATTGTTCGACTGCAGATAACTCTGCGGCTACAGAATTTTACCTGAAATTTCTAGTCAAAGTATGAGTTGGAAAATAGCAACATCCTCCAAAATGACAGAAAGATTATTTCATGTACACCATAACCTGAACCCTTAATATTTTCCTTAATGGACGTTTGGGTGTGAGATGGGCTTACCGTGGCTCCAACTTCTTTAGCCTTGTCTATTGTTTCCATTGCCAACATATGGTCAAGGCCAGGGTCCAATCCCAGCTCACCAATGAGTGTGATGCCAGCATCTTCCACACTGCCACGGATGAAAAGAGGAAGGAGGGACAGTGAATGTTAACAGAAAACCAACACCACAGGGCCACTTTCTTGGTGGAAAAAGATGGAAGCATACCTCTTTTCCAGTTCCTTTAGCGGGGGTGTAATGTAGCTCGCAGTGACCATGTTAACTTTGCTTGCAATGCATGCCTTGGCCACAAGGGGATGCAATACATAAGGCAGCAAGCTTAAACCAAGAAAGAAAATAGTCAGAAACTTTCCTTGTCAACCCGACCTCCCAGCACACTTGGAATTGTACTACAGCACTGCTCTGCTAAAGTTATTATTTCAGTAATGACCAACGACTCCTTATGGACCACAGGAAAAAAAGGCATTTTACTACATTTACAGCCCTTGTCAGTAGGGCCTAGCTTCAACTAACCTTTCCATTTTTCTTCCCTAATGACCTGCATAAATGATGCATGTGAACCGGAGAAGCTATTGTGATTGCCCGTGTGCAGTCTTTACTTCGCTCCCCACACCTACCGCCTGGCATGCTCGTTACACCCAGCTACCCTTAAGAAGTGCCTGCAATGGTATTGCCTCCAGGAAATTGCCCCAGGCTCCCCGAAAGCCAGCTTTCTTTGACGGCATGTACCCCACGCTTTCTCTAGAACATTGAATGCAATTTCTTCCGTGCTCTCTCATATGTTTATGATTCCCTATGTTGGCTCTCCCCTGTCAGGTCAGTGGTTTCCAGCCTCACATCTCTACACAAGGCCACCAGGAGGGGCAACACGGCCCCTGTGCCAACATCGGAGAGGAGGCCCTGGAAAGGGCTGGAGAAGGGGAAAGGTTGATTAAGAACGCGGTTATCAAAATGACTTAAAAAATCTACATGGTGAGCAAAACAGTGGCGCTGTTTTGAAATAGAAGCCAAATTTGCTGTGGCTTTCTAAATATATGGTCCTGGTATTTTGAACTGGTGCTGGGACAACACAATCACACACACACAAATAATTTCCATCGATGTCATTATTGATGAGGGTAACCACATTCTAGGCAGGGAATAGTAAATGCTGCCAACCGCACGGCAGCCTTTAAATTCTGTTAACGGATTGATTATTTGGTAATGTAATCTATACAGAACCCCCCTGCAGCAAAACACTAAGTAGAAACTTGTAAACCTTTTTCACTGTGTGTCAAACGTATCCTGCATAAATGACCTTTGGTTTCACAACACATGCAAGCATTCTTCCTGATGTCAATTAGGCAGAGTAATACTACTTAGATTTAGTATCATGCAGAATTAAATTGTGTACACGGCTTCTCTATATTAGAGCTCCTAAAAAAGTTCTTGATCTCTTTGCCTCTGGCTGTGTTAGCCAAAACAAACAGATTTTTTTAATGATTGCCAGATTTGGTAGCTTTTTGAAAGAACGTGAAAGTATGTGATGGCATCATTTTGATGGTCAGATGGAAATTGTTAAAAATCACATTTTTCACCTTGAAAATGTGCCAGATGAAGAGTGTGCCTGATAATACACCGCGCAGGGACTGACAGGGCTTCGAGCGGTGGGGTTTTTGTGAGAAAGGGATTGCATTTCTCAAGTCTCATTTGTGCATTTGATGTAATGACGGCTCAGTGGGACACAAATCATTGGCTTATCTAAGGCTTTGGCTCCTGCCCAACAGGACTGGATGTCAGAAATGTGACTTTTGTGGAAAGCATGGGCAAAATGCAAATGAAGCTGACAAAGGGACTCATCAGACTCAATTAATTCCATGCAATTACTTGACTTTTAAATCACCAAAAACTGAAATTGGAAAAGTTCAAGAAGATGTGGACGTGTGCTAGTCCTTATCAACAACCTTTTCCTGGGAAATGCACTCTTGACTCACTTTACTTTTAAATTCTCTCCCCATGATTGTGTTTACATCAAAACAGCCCTACCCCAACTCAAAAAATAAACTAAGAAGCCTACAGTCTGGTGCTGAGAAGCGGCATCGGCAAGAAATCACCTGAGGGAAAATAAACATATAAGACACTTAGCTCATGCCAAATCATGCTGCAGGCTGCCAGTTTGCTAGCTATTAAAATTTGCATATTAACAGACTATTCTCTTTGTCCATTATCTTTTCAAAGTTTGCCTCTGATGTAATTCCAAATGGGCTATGTTGTTTTATTTTTGCTTTTTCCTTTTTAATACAGTTTTTGTTTTATTCAGGTAGGAAACTTGGGCATTAACTTAAGAGCCCGGGGTTACTGCCATATCACTGTCTGACAAACATATTTAAATATTTAGTAGATCTTTGCTGAATAAAAATTAAGGTGCACCACATTTGTATGCACTGAATAACATCTTTTAAGTGTCCAGGGTGAGACTGTATTTAAAGACCTCCAGACAGAAAGTTAAATGTGTCCGTGTCATTAGAATTACCTTTCCTTGTATATGCAATTCTCAGTCTGTTGGAACGCCCTCCAAGGCTATCCTTTGAATCACACTTGACTAGAAAAGTGATTCAACAATCATTGAATGAGCAGGTACCTTTCTTCCTCCTACCTTGAAAAAACGTACTCTAAGAATAAATAACTGTTCTCATCACTTTGATCTTTCAAATGAAGTTTCAAAACCAGCCATAAGGATCTCTGTCTCAAGACAGTGGATCTTATTTTTTATCAGGGAGTAACAAACACAATATATTAAGATTTTTCCCTGTGATAAAGCATGAAGGGTCTAAATATTAAAAAAACCCGAGGTCCTAATTCAGTTAAGCTTCAAAGGTCCAAGAGGATAGCATGAACACCACAATGTGTTACAACCCACCAATTCCCCCTCTAGGTGCACACTCAACAGAAATGCCGAGTCCGCAGACAGGGTCACCAAGAGAGTTGTATTCAAAATGCTCATGGCAACACCTTCATAACAGCCCGACATGGAAGACAGCCTAAACATCCAGGCAGGGCGACATGAATAAATGATGGTACCGCCAAATGAGGCAATCAATGTATAAACTAAATTGACAGAAAGTCACAATGAGGGGAGGAAGAAACAATCAAGGACATGCTACATTGTTCTAATAATGCAGTTTTAAACAAACTAAACTAACCTATGTGTCTGTTAGGAGCCAAGATGGTGTTTATCCTTCTTCGGGAAGAGGTATTAGTGAGTGGAAGGGACCACAAGAAGGGCGGCTAGAGTAATATGAATATTCTGCTTCTCGATTTTGATGTTGGCTCCACAATACTCAAAATGTTCAGGATGTCAAAATTCATCCAACTATACACAGCTAGGAACTTTGATGAACATTTCTTTGTGCAGACTGCAATTAAACATTTACTTCAAGAGAAAGGAGAGGGGAAAGGAGGGCAAAGGAGCAGAAAAACAGCCACAACCCGAAGCCGAGGCCTCATTCCTCGGCAGGGACCCACCTGATGACCAGATCCTGCGCCGCCACCAAGGAGGTCAACCGCTCGGGCTGTTTACCAACGTCCACACAGACAGAGCAGACATCGTACTTCTTACTCAGCTGCTCCACTTGATGCTTCATGTCAGAGCCTACGTCAAGAATTTCAAAAGTCCGTGTTTAAGATTCCCAGGCACTCGCCAGAGATCGTAGCCTCTCCAAGAATAAACGTTCCCACTTTAGAAGCCCGGCAGTCAGCTCAGATTCGTGTGCCATAGGATTGGTAGTCTCGGTTCTGTTTGGGGTTTCTTTACCTATTGTTATTTCAATGTTGCCATCTCTCCGCAGGTATTCCAATACGGGCTCGGAGACGTAGCCAGTGCCAAGAACCAATACCTTTTTCTTGGTGCCCATTGAAACTGACTGAGCACGTTCCCTATGAAGAAAACAAAAAGCAGGGGGAGGGGAGAGGGAAAGAGACTAATTTAATCTTGAAAAGAACGACTCTAGCTGCCTTGCGAACAAACTAAAGCCTAGACATCGAAGCAACACATTTTCCACATGGCTAACAACAAGAGCCTCACTAGGTCTTCCCTACACCAAGATTCTTCATTCATTACTTTTGTGTCTGTAGAATGAAGAGCAGACGCATCATCGTCTGAGCTGTTATGTCCGTAGACCTTCAAGAATTCCTAATGCCACCCGTGTGGTGCGGGTGCTGGACCACTGCTTGGCTCACTCATAACTGCTCACTTGATCCTTCGGAGTGACACGATTCAAATCATGGAAGGAGCTCGACATTCACAACCTTATTTACCCTCCACAATAATCAGAGGCTATTCTTATCAACCACATTTAAAATGATCTTGTCATTTATCTCTAGGGTCATTAGAGGACAGCTGGAAACATAACTGAGATCATGAAGTCCATCAATTGTACATAGAAAACATGAGGCTAGTACCAAAAGAATACTGTGATTCTTGATCAGCTACTCTGTAGAATTCGTATCTTCCTGATGATTCAACCCTGTGTTTTTCTCGGAAACAAGGACTAAATCTTACCCACCTTCATAAGCTCATTAAGTGCCCTGTACATTTTGTCCTGAACATGGATCATTCTCATTCAATATATTTTGAATCTTATCCCAGTTATGTTGCCAACATGTAATTATGGAAGTATCCCGCTACCAAGGTGTTACCAGATTCTGCTGTTAGAATCTTTAGGCCATGGTAAAACCAAAACCTAGCTCACTCACTGCCCTTGAGTACTCAGTGCTGACTGACAGTGATCCTATAGGCCAGGGTAGACAGCCTGAGAGTTTCCAAAACTATCACTCTTGACGGAAGTAGAAAGCCCTACCTTTCTCCAGTGGAATGGCAGGGGGTTCGAATGGTTGCTCTTGCGGATCACAGCCAAACTTTTTGAAAAAGGAAGGCTAACTGGGGGTGTGTGTGTATATATGTGTGCAAAATTTTCCTGCCACTCTTCCATCTACAACACATATCCATTGCTGTGTGGGGAGCAAGAATGTGCAATTGGTATCAGCCAGCCTCGGGGTTTGGTTTTCCATGTACATAATCTAGGCCTACGTGATTATCAAAATAGTCATACTGGATAAAGCTAGTATCAAGAACGGATGAGGTACCCTCTCACTAAACAGGCTGTTCAAATCCAACATAAGCCAAATTCACTGCCAGCTAGTTGATTTCAACCCACAGCAACCCTATAAGGCGCCTGTGGGTTTCCATGGCTGTAAATCTTTACGGGAGCAGAAAGTCTTATCTTTCCCTCCCGGAGTAGCTGGTGGGCTCCAACTGCTGACCTTGTAGTTAGCAGCAGAACTCGTAACCCATTACGCCACCAGGGACCCTTTCAAATACAAGGTATGTATAATAGGTAAATAAGATCGGAACAATACTTAACCTGCTCTCTCGGAGTTTCTGGATATATTTATACTTATCAGTCAATGTACCGTTGGATGCGATCACTGCCTAAATGTGCACAAACACAAGACATTTCTTTATAAACACAAGACATTTTAGTATTCACAATTTAATCCAACATGCATGAGCTCAGGAACTGACAGAGAAGAGACGGAGTAACAACTCTAGCCGGTTGGGGGCGGGGGGTGGGGAGTGGGGGAGACCGAGAGAAAGTGGAAGGGAGGTGAGGGAGTGAGCATGCTGGCTGAGAATCACCTTCTTGGAAGGGACTTCTGTTTAGAACTTACGTCTCGCACTACAGCAGAAAAATGTTGGTTTTCTAGTGGCTGTGTCGCATCTGATAATATCTGGAAAGGAAATGAGGTTGGTAAGAGGTCAATGGTATGGTGGAGAAGGTTTTGGTGTATGTTTGTATCTACATTACAAGGTTAGTCAAAGGAAAAATACCATTGGGCCATGCCTTTCTTAAGGTCACTGCATATAAACATTTGGTAATGAAGCATTCCACTAGAAAAATCAACTGTTCCTACGTGTCATTTCTGCACCAGCTCTAATGTTAGAACTGATATTTGATGACAAATACCTTTGCTTGCTGGAAACAAAAAGGTGTATCAGACACATAGCACCCCGAAGTTTACAGCCATCGCCTCCTGTGAGTGTTTCCTATCCCTTTCCAAAGGTTCTGGCTGTCTACTGAGAGTAAAGGGGGAGTCTTCCAAACACCAACTCTTCAGTTCATGTGCGGGAGAAGGGGTGCACCCATACGCAGATCAACAAAACTGGTAGGCAAAGTGACATCAAGTAGACTACAAAAGTCATCTGCCATGGAACAAGAAAATATTCCAGCATATTCCAGTTCTCTCTCAAGAATGAGTCATATGGCCAACCACAAAATCCACATCTCTCGTATTAACACTGCAGCACCTGTCTTGTTCTCCTCTCTTCTTCCAGTGCACCCAGCCCTTGTACAAACCGCGAAAGGGTACAGGCCAGTCAGTATGGTTGTTCCTGACGGACAGGAATGGGCTAATGAGACATCCTTGCTAATTTTAAGATAAGGCCCAGAGCACTCATCCAACTAAGAAAGCACAAAACATATGAGCTGATTATGACCAAAGACTATTAGAAAAAGAATTGTTTTAACTTTCATGTACTAAAGCACAAGAAACCCAGGCTATCCTTATGATATTAGCAATTTAAAAAAATCTGTAAGCAAGGCCATTCTTTGGGAAATGCATGGAATTGACACAGGTCTTTTCCTCAGACTGCTTCTTTTTCCCAGTCACCTTTGGGACAGTTCCTTTCTGAGGCAGACTCTTCTAGCTCCAGGACAGAAGCCATCGGGGCTGTATGTTACAGTCGAGTCAGTTCCAACTCATAGTCATCCTCCATACAACTGAACAAAGCACCGCCCCATCCAGCACCATCTTCGGAATCATTCCTATGTGTAAGGCCATTGTCGTAGCCACGGCGACAACCCACCCCATTGACGGTCTCCCTCTTTTTTCTGGTTGGCCCTCCATTTTTTGTTTTTGTTTTTGTTTTTTCATTGGTGTGGTTTCCTGCCAAGCAAGCTGTACTTCTCCGGGGGTTGGTCCCTACTGCTGATAGGGCCAAAGCACATGAAACCAAGTGTCAACATCCTCCCTCCAATGTGCACGCTGAGTGTGCTTTTTCCAAGTCAGATTTTGTTCACCCCTCTGGCAGTCCATGGTATACTTAATAATATCCGCCACCTCCATAATTCAAAGGTACCAATTCTTCTTCAGTCTTGGTCATTGTTTACCTTTCAAAGGCACATGAGGTGATTAAAACACCATGGCTTAGGTCAGGTACATCTTAGTCCTCAAAGAGACATCTTTACTCTTTAACATCTTAAAGAGATCTTTTGCAACAAATCTGCCCAATTCATTATTTGATTTCTTCTATGGACATTAATTGTAGATCTAAGTCTTTAAAAAGCCTTAGCAACTTCAGCCTTTTCTCTATTTATTGTGATGTTGTTGTCTATTGGTTCAGTTGTGAGGATTTTTTAAAAATAGTTTGAAGTATAATCCCTACTACAATCTTAGATTATTTGCTCAGTATACAATTTAAGTATGGTGAAAGGGTACAACGGTGGCACACACCTTTGTTGATTTTGAACCACACAAGAGGCACGTGAGCACAATTCAGTGTTCTACAATGCACTGCAATGTTATCTCTAACTTGTTATGATCCACACAAATCCATGTATGCCATTGAACAGTCAGTGAAATGCAAGTAAACATCTTTCTGTTATTCTCTGCTTTCTGCCAAGATCCATCTCACGTCAGCAATGATAAACCTTGCTCTGTTACACAAGAGCTCTTTGAAGTGTTGATGGAGTAAGGATGCCACCTTCAGGATTAAGGTGCACTTGACCCAAACCATGACCGTTTCAATCACCTCAAATTCATGTGAGGAGGGTTGCACATTGAACAAGGAAGAACTGAAGTAGAATGGATTTGAATTATGATGCTAGTTAGGACGATTTAAAGTACCGTGGACTGTCAGAACAACACACAAATCTGCCTCAAAAGAAGTACAGCCACAATGCTCCTGAGGAGTGAGGATGTGAGACCGCCCCACACACTTTGGGCATGTATGTAATCAGGCGAGATCAGTCTCTGGAAAAGGATTTCACGCTCGGTAAGGTAGGTCAGTGAAAAAGAGGAAGAGGGTCAAGGGCACGGGTTCACAACAATGGGCTCAAACATAACAATCGTGAAGAAGGCAGAGGGTCGGGCAATGTTCGGTTCTGTTGTACATCGGGTCACTGTGAGTCAGAACTCACTAGGTCGCTGTGACTCGGAACAGGCTTAACAGCACCTGACAAACAGCAGCAATGTCCTCTTCTGGATCCAGCTGAATTTCTGGCCCTTCTTGACTGATATACCGCTAAGACAGTTGTGGGGTTTTTTTAATTGCCTTCAGCACAATGTTACTTGAGTTTTACCTGTTCAATCGTTTCCACAGTCTGTTGAATCGATTCTCTGGAATGAGCACAAATATGGATCTCTTGCAGGTGGTTGGCCAGGTCAGCTCTGAGTTTCTTGTTACAGACCATTGAAAACCCCCAGTGCTGCCCCTGTCTGTTTAAATATCTCCACTTAAACTCCCTCACTGCCTGAAGCCTTGATTTTTTTGCCAACGGCTTCAGTACGGCTTGGTCTTTTTCCATCGAAACAAAGGTTCTTGATCAAATGCTGCCTCCTGAAATGTCTGTACCAGTTGGTGACACTGTGTATTCCTTCCGTCTTCTCTGGATGCTTGCCGAGTCAGTGAACAGCTTGTCCAATGAACCTTTCCACGGCAACGCGGGGCTTGTTTTCCGTAGGTTCGTTTAGCTTGAGAACTGCAGCTGTGTTCATCCCTTTGGGTCTCTTCTAACTCGAGTTCTTTGTACAGTCCATAGTGGTACTTTGTCTTCCTGAATTCCCTTCTTTATGTCGTTATGTCTTCCTTCCGTTTTTAGCTACTCTATGTTCAAGGGCCAATCTCAGAGTGTCTCCTGACATGGTCTTCTCTTTACGTCCTGTCTTTTGGGTGACCTTGTTTCCTTTACGCCTGATGCCCCTGATGCCACGACTCATCTGCTCTTTAGCCCTCAGGGTTCAATAAATCAAATCTATCCTCGAAGCGGTCTCCAAAATAAGAACGGACACACTGAAAGTAATATTTCTCTCTCCTGGACTGTTTTTCATTTGCTTGAGCTGCAATATGAACTTGCTGTATATGAGCAATCCATGGTGTTGTAGTGGAGTGAAATGTCTCAATATGACACTTCTACCCAAGTCTCTGTAACTCCCACCAGATGATTAGGCGGGATAATGCAAATAGGGCATGTGTATTAGTCTGGGTACTTTGGAGAAACAAATCCACAGCGACTCATGTATAAGAGAGAGTTTTATGCAAAGAAAATGTGCATCACAAAAAACATCCCAACCCAATGCTGCCCAAGCCCACAAGTCCAACATTAACCCATACCCAACACCAGTCCACAAAGTCCTTCACCTCACAAAACAGAGGCAATAATGCCGCCTGCAGGAGGAAAGCTGAGTAAGTGAACGTGTAAGCATCTCAGCACTAGCAGGGGTCTCCACACGGCTGCTCCAGCACCCAGGGCTGCATCGGGATAGGTCCATGTAGCTTCTCCTTGGGGATGTCTTGTAGGAAATCCATCTTGCAAGCTGAAGCAGGGAACTGCTAAGGCAGCTGCACCTGATGCAACCATCACAAAACAAGAGACCCGAGAACTAGAAAGGCGAGGCTTCACCACCCATTTATCCCTCCGCCTTTCAACCAGCCCCACATGTGATTATCGGCCAGGCTGGCACAATTAACTAACTCAGCATGTATCACCCTAATAGAGCCATCTCTAAAGCAGCAGTAGAGGAGAGAGTAGTAACCAGGGAGATCTTGGGAGAGCACGGTCAGGATTCTGTCTGAAGTGGCAGTGGCAGTGGCAGAGGCCACTGAGACCAGATGTGCCACAGGCTGTAGCACAGAGACTCAAAGGAGCAGCGTGGAGACTACGGGGCCCCTTCTCCTCTGGCCGGGGACCGTGCAACTGTGGAACAGAGTGACAGGGGCTTTGGCTTCCTGGCCATGCAGGCAAAGGGTCCAGGACCACATGGATGAGAGACGAAACACAGAGTTTGCTGCAGGCAGAGGAGACCAATGACTGTATCCTTACTGTTCGCCGATCCTAACTTGTGGAAACCTACTGACTTCGCCAATAATCCCTTACTTAGGAGTACTGTCTCGGAGTTTGGTGTGGCCATGGCAATGAATTGTCAAACTGAGCACAGAGGTAGAGTGGTGTGAGAGGGACCGTTGGTGTCCAAATAGGCAAAGAACGGCAGGCCGTGGAGGTCAGTTAGGTCCACCTCCGATGCCATTTACTGCAGATCTATTCTGCAGTCAGTGCCTGGCCTTGTTCTGACTGATGCTGTAAAGGTTTCCCACGCTCGCTTACCACAGATGTAGTCAATTTGATTCTTGTCTATTCTCCTCACTGAGGTCCGCCAGTGACAATCACGGTTTATGTTGTGGGAAAAGAAGACTGGCCAGGAGTGAATTGGGGATCTTGCAAAATATGATCCTGTGATTCCTGGCATTGTCTCATCACCAAGCCCATATTTTCCAAGTGTTGGTCCTTCTTTGCTTCTAATGTTTGCATGCCAAATATGATTAATTATCAAGGCATCTCGGTTACATGTTTGATCAATTTCAGACTGCAGAAGTTGGCACAAATCATCAAATTCCTTCATCTTTGGCATCAGTTAAAACAGAAGCCATCAGTCGGTGATACAAGGAAGTTCTA